TACGTACGGTACGTACGTACGTACGTACTACTACTACTACGTACGTACGTACGTACGTACGTACGTACGACGACGACGACGACGTACGTACGTACGTACGTAACGTACGTACGTACGTACGTAACGTAACGGTAACGTAACGTAACGTAACTACGTACGTACGTACGTACGTACGTACGTACGTACGTTACGTACGTACGTACGTACGTACGTACGTACGTACCGTACCGTACCTACCGTACCTACTACTACTACTCTCTCTCGTCGTCGTCGTACGTTACGTTACGTTACGTTACCGTTACCGTTACCGTTACCGGTACCGGTACCGGTACCGTCCTCCTCCTCCTCCTCTCTCTCTCTCTCTCTCTCTCTCTCTCTCTCTCTCTCTCTCTCTCTCTCTTTTCTCCATGGAGAAAAGGGCTAACGTAAATCGTGACTCTTTCAACGTCAATCCCTGAAAAGCGCGCGAGATGGATCTTATACATTTCCGACAGTCCGGGACTTACCTCGGAACGTTCGATTTCGGTATCCCGACCGCACACCCGAAGAAATCGATAGCCAGTCACCGAATCGACGGCTCGCCGAGCGAGAGATCCACTGCTTCCAGTCACGACGATTTATCGGCGTTGATTCCCATATGATTCCCGCAGCGAGAGATGCGCGAGCATTCCCGGTAGATACATGTTAATGCGGCTCGTCGGCATAATGTTTATGAATAGCTTTTACGGCGTTGCTTCTATGTAACCGCGCGCGCGAATCGTGCCGATTATTCAAATAAAAACAAAAAGGAAATATACGACGAATTAATTTGAGAGCGTCGATAATAATAATAATTGCGATAATAAATGCGACACGCGTTTAGATTAGTTATTTGTAACAATAATTTAATCGTTTCAAAAGAAGTGAGAGATAAACGATTCGTTTGGCTCGTTTTCCTTTTCGCGGTCAATTGATATTTCTCTTTTAAATTCTTCTCTCACAGTTTACACGTGAGTCTCGTAATAATTCTCGCCGTAACGTTGGAGAAAAATTTTAAAGAAAGTTTCTTCCGGGGGGATGGGAGAGGGGTGGGAATAAAGAGTAAAATAATGCTCCATCGTAAATTTTAGCGGTCGCGTACGCAGTATCAGCCGGACAAGTGTCGATAATAGGATCGTACAAGTCTTTTTTTTTGCCACGGCTAGTTTAGTACCCACTTTATCACGCGAGGTCGTTTCGTTTCAAGTGGATCATTCTGCATCCGACACATAGACGCAGGTGGGCGCGCTTTATGGCTGACGTTATTATGATCAAACCTCATTGTGTTGGATGTCGTCGGTAGAGCCTAGCGATGGGATAGCACGCATTATATCGTCCTTAGATGCGGTCTCTCTTTCTCTCCGATCGCTGGCGATATAATCATCTCTTCGATTTTATCGCGACGCTTTTGCGTGTAATGGACAAACGTGTGTGTCGCATATATATAACCGCAAACTTCTGCGATTATGTTACATTTACGACATTCTTAAATGGGACCCTTACATTTAAACGATCGACTATCCAAGATCACGATTCGGTTCATGAATTTCTCAGCGAATCGCAATAATATTTACCATCGTTATCGGGATTGGACCGAATTCTCTATAGAAATGCCACAGGTATTCCTTTTCTTTCGCAACGTACAACGTACAACGTGCTACGCAATGTTCATACATATTTGTGGTCGTCCGGTCAATAAATTAGCGTACGGCAAACAATATCTGCGATTGGGCCGTGCGACATCAATGTATCATTCATTATGTAGTAAATTATGTAGTAATTTACCGTTATGCATACGCCTGTATACCTGATCAGCACGCTAGTAAAATGTTTTTAACTAGATGCGTGTGCAATGCGCTAGACGAGCGTACATATTCATAGCTGATGAATAACGTGAATATTCAAGAATATAAAATTGGAGTGCTTGCGTTCCACTTACGGCCATTCCATAAATTTGTCATTCCTGTGTTCATAAATTATAACGCAACAACGACACATCAATCTAGAGTTTACCAATATTCCTATGATATACATTATCGCAATTACAAAATAGCGTGCGCTTGTTATCAAATTTGTCGATAACAAGCGTTGTTTGTGATTTTTTTTTTAGATTTTCACCCGACAAAGTTAAAGAATCGATAATATTTAAATTGACAAAGTTATAAATTATAAATGCGGCATGAATTTAAAAGTAAGTAATAAGAAAGCTTTACAACGCGATACGACTTTACTACCCGCGTTAACATTCGTCATCCTCGCGGAGGAGTTGAGAGGAATCTTCTTATTTTACTCCTTGACAGAAGGAACGATATTTCATTGGCAATTAAATCGCTCTAATAGTAGTAAAGGAAATTTGTTATCACGACTGGGTACGTCGTAGGAAGTTTGCGACACTTACATCTTAAGTGTAAAGCGTGCGCGCTGCAGAAAGTTATTATTAGTTTCACAGGAAAGCGTACTTTCCGGCTTGGAGACGAGCGTAAAATACCGGGAAACAACGTTACGTCGTTTGCAAAGTTAGCATCGTGCGAGCATAACACATACATGGCACTTTCTCGAACGGAGTGGAAATTGTAGAATTTCGATCCATCATTCGTACGCGTTCTCGCTGTTTCGTTCCTTTCCTTTTTCGGAAATTTCTAAGCTACGGCTTTCGACCGTACGGCTTTCTTGTACGATGGCGGTCTAGCCATTAGAATTTACCGCGTCTCTCGCGAGACTGACATTATCTCTGACGAAATATGTTATTTTTCGGGGGGACTAACGCGTATATACGTTTAGCGGAACATTACCTCGCGTTGACGCGCGCGCGCGCGTGCGAATTTGTTCGCGGACGTTATTTATCGCTTATTCGCTTCACTCCGGTCGTAAACAGCAAACTGTACGCGGCACTTATAAAGTGATTCTGGATACATGCGTTATTGCGTCCACATGCGCAATTTGTTCTTTCTTTCTTTCACATTCGAGCGCAAAAAAATTGAAAAACTTGACCATCCGTTTCCGATAAAACAACTTCCTTCGTCTATATTTATCGGCGCACTTAATTTCTGTGGTAATTACCTTATCGACGTTCGTTCGTTTCGCTTCCGTTCGATTAAAAAAGGAAGACCGGGGGGGGGGGAAAGGCGAGAATACGCGGAAGTTAGCCCGTAGTAGTTCTCTCACGGTGCGAATCGACGATATTTTCACGTAACCACCCAATTACGTAAATGAAACCCACTCTTACTACTACGACGACATTGCTCATTCTCACTTTACGTAATTACCGTTAGTGCACAAACGTGCCGTGGATCTGTGATCGAGACCTACCGATATCACTTTGAAAACATTTCAATCTTCTTCCCGTAACGATTAACTCATCCTCTCGACGATCTCAATACTGAACTCTGTTTGAAAAACTGCTATTACCCTTGTTATTCTTACATAATGTTACGCAAGATAAAAAAATATCAATTTCTTCCATCGAGTCTTTTCCCAAAGGAGTAATAAAAATAATTAATGTATGCTTTGCACATCTATAGATGTACAACTGCGTGCAGATAAGTCAGAAACAGTTGGAGCAAGAAGTTACGCGCTCGTGTAAGTAGGATAGACGAATAAAAGCACGTAGGTACGTCACGTATCGTGTTTTACGGTAACCCTAAACATCTCGCGTGGAGGAGGGTCGAAAGACAGGACAGGATCGGCCTTCGCCTTCGCGTAAGCTTCAGTGTCTCATAGGACGGCTCCCATTCGAGCCTCGAGCACTCTCGTGACTTCGTTGTACTGGTAAAGGCTCTCATTGTCACGCATTCCTACGTACAGCCGCAGCTGTTGTTATTCACCCGTATTAAGAGATAGATTTACATGAGTAAACACGTTGAGGTCTAGAGTCCCACGTACAAATTGAGATTAGAGTTAAGCTTGGGAAATATTTGAATAATTTGAATGCATGTATTAATTAAAAGCTATATAAACACATATACAAGCATCAAAAGCGGTTTCTGTACAAAAGTTATAATCTTAGAAATGGAAAGATCAATTAATATTAAATTTAATAAAAAATACGATATGTATATCGTAATGTAAAAGATTTGAAAGATTCGCTCGTATCTTTTTCATCGTGCAAAAATATATTTAGTTTAGAAATTATATAGCATTCTAAATAAAATTTAGATTAATCGGTTAAATCGTATTTGTATTATCTGTCAAAAAAAAAACGAAATTCGGAGTCACGAAGAGGCAGGTGAAAGTTAAATCATCGACGGGAACTACTTGCCAAGCGTACTTATAACGAATACTTAAGATATAAGACAAGCATCTTATTTTCATGAAAAAGCTATAAAGTTCGTAGTCCGTCGAGCTTTCACCACCGTCCGTAACATACGGATGATGATTCTACAAGCGCAAAGTACTCACAAAGTTTATACGCCGCTGCGTTACGGAGAAGTTATGTGTCGAGGGCTCTAGAGAAAATCATATTTCTACACATATTCGCCGACGTTCATGTTGAAGACATCAAAATAATCCTTTTAAACAACGACAGGAACCATATACCCTCGGGGATGACGTTACCCTTATTCTTTCAGACTTCATAAAAGTATGTTACGTCTAAAGTAAAATTTTATTTTACATCTAGATATCCTGTTTCCTTGACCGTGCGTCACGTTTTCCAGATTACATTTCAGTCGTTCGAAAAGTCTCGCAGGTGCGATTAATTTTTTTTTTTCTTTTTCTTTATGAAGCTAGTAAAGTTTGATAAATTTATTATGATACAAGTCGGTGAGCCGTATCACTTATCGGGAAAAATGTCCTCGTACTTTTTTCATGTTTAACCGAGGTAATGCCTATCATCGTTAAGGTTGTAAATCCCGATTTTATAGTACCTTAATCCGAACAAATTTATCTTTCGCGGAGGAAGTACCATGGGACGCGCGACGACGCGGCAATTATTGATTAAGAAAGGTGATAAATCGCATGCACAGCATGCAATGTATACTTACTGGTAGCGCTGACAGCTGGTCCGATGACCGAGTACTTGGGGTTCCCCGTAACGGCCCCTGGGATCTTGTCCGGCTCTGAAACACATTATTGTAATTATCTCTAGAATATACAGTGCCGTTAATTACGACAGGGAGTCACCGTATGCAATGGACCACAGCCAATCTACCTTAGCACAAAGGATCTACCCGCATGATTCATCGCCTCGTAACTATGTAAAGGTATTTCTTGCTTAAAATTAAAATACCAGTGCTTCATTATTAGATTTTATTAGTCAAAATAATCATTGAATTAAATGTCAATATTGATCAAGTCTACTAAATGCACATTAATGTGTAACGAGCAAAGGCATTATCGACAAATATGTGTTGCAATTATATGATACAATACGTCGGAAATCAAGTTATCATACAATAATCAATATTACAAGATGGATAGATTTATCGTTAAAATGTATATCTGTTAATGGTAACGGATCAATAGACAGTAATAACAATGGGTAAATTCAAAGAACAATCCAACTATATGTGCAAAACGTTGGATGGCTTGGTCGATTATCAAGTAGGCAAAGAAGGTGCTGTATGTACGGAATGCGAGCTCTTTCGCTCTGAGCTTGATGTTACACTTTGCTGGAAAGTTTCACGATCTTCCTTGCCGACCGTGAAAAGCTTTAGCATTATCAGAAAGCTTCGCAAAAGCTCTGCTTCATGGCGCTTTCATGCTTTAGTACAGCGACGCGTTATGTTGAGCTTTTGAACTTCATCTACTTGAAGCTGCGGTACCGACCGGGTTCGCAATTTGACATACACTTGAGAATTTGATATTTTCTCTCTCTCTCTCTCTCTCTCTCTTTTCTCTCAACTGAGAAATACTTTTAATATAAAATCTTCTTCTCTTTAATTTTTTTTTTACTCAAATATTTAAATATATATTTATGTCTATCGCAAAAATATAGGTAAATTTTAACAAAGATATAAAAGAGGTTTCAGAAAAATATTTTATGATAATATAATACTGAATAATCAAAAGAGATTTAAAAAAAAAAAAAAAACAAAGTTTGATTCTGGACAAATGAGCTGGTCTTCGTAAGAACAAAAAATTGCCGCACAAGTGGGGAAAGTTAAACTGATATTCTATGCGCAGCAAAGTTTAAAAGACATCTATAGCTATCTTCCTGCATGCAATATAAGACAGTGAATAATTTAATGGCTCGTCCCATAACTTTAGGGACTCACCTGAGTGGAAATGCTACCAATGCGGTCTTACGCATCGCAGGAGATGAGACGGTGCCGAAGAAAGAGGAAACGGGGAGTTGGTGGCCGTAGAGGGATCGAAGGATGGTCGGAAGGATGGATTTTCGTGACGCCGACGAGTAATCGTCGTTCGTTACCGACCAGGATGCGGCGCATCGTCCAATGGCTGGAATTGGAACATCGCCTTGAAGCCTTGGCCCGGCCACTCGGAATTAGCAACGAACTCGACGTAGAGACCTGGTCCCGTGCTGAGTATCTCCACTTCCGCTCCCTGGTTGCAGAGCACGGCTATTGTGGGCGCCCCTGAATCCGTTCCGTCGTGCACCCTGATTAAATCCGCCCTATTCAGGCAACTGTAACAGGATGTGCTTTTCGTTAAAAGACGGCAACTTATCGGTACATTACCCTCAATGATTGAAATCCGTTCTGAGAAACTGGAATAGTCTCGTTTAATCTAACTGACACTTGTATCGTTAAGAGATAAAGAAATAAAGAATGTTGACAAAATCTGTGTATTAACGTAATCGTGCTGCTTGAGTAGTGTCTCCCAAGTCAAAACTGTCGAAGCGTCTTACTTTGAGTACGAGTTTGCTTTCATAAAGGTTTGAGATCTGGGAATGGGACGCGCGCGTGAATAAAGAGAGGCTCTTCGAGATTCTCGGCAATGAAAGTATGTTAAGTCCGCTTTGAGTGCTGCGGCTCGTCTAGATAACGCGCGCGCGCGCGCGCCCGCGCGAGGGGAATGAGACCGAAAGAGTGGAGGACAAAGGAGATGAGAGCTACGGACGAAGCGAGGCAGTTCAGTGGGGATTGAAGGTGAAACTGTAAAGAGTGTATAGTGACAAAAGGATGGCGTCGTCGGCAGGACGAGCGGTGGGCGGAAGGCCAAGAAGAGAGTCTCAACGACCATTCGTTCGATTCGTTCTATACGTTCTATACGTGTACCTGAACTACTCCGCTCGATCTAACCGAAAAAGAGTATCACATCTTCCGTGCCTTCGGACTTATGAATTGTGCACTACATCGACGGAATCGTCGATTCGATCGATTTAAAAGCTTGATCGATGATAACGGTAGATAACGGGATAACGTTATTACTTGCACGGGTTAAGCAATTACGTTGGCAGAGAAATATTATCGTTGGAAGAGTCAGAGATTAAAGAGCCATCCCTGCGTGCCGCCTGCCCGTTCCGCTTTCTAATCTATGAATCTACACGACCTGCGACTTCCGACTTCAATATCGCGACACTGCGAATTGGCGTTTGGACAAAAGCGTCCAATTTCAATCGCCAAATCGCTTTGTATAAACGTTATGAATGAATAGAAGCAAATTAAACTCGTTTTGAAACAATCAAATTGAAAAGTTTAACTGTGAAGTTAGTGGTGTTCGCCTAAGTAAACTCAAGGCGAAGCCAAGCAAATCCGTCTATCAAAGTTAATCTAGCGTAGTATCCCGCGCCCGCAGTGTGTACACGGAATTCTTCAACAAGATGCCCAACAAGATTTACTTCGGGCCATCACCGACTCCATTTTGCTCTCGTCTCGATTTTATTCCTATTCCGTTCTACTGTGTCTCAGTGGCTATTCCATGAATATCGTTAAGGTAACGTTTACCTTTGGAAACTTGAATTCAAGCGTGAAAGCACGTTGAAGTAAGAATGGCGATACAAAGAACCGCTCTACATCTCTTCTTTTCCTTTTTATTAAACTTCTCGTAAGTTAGCGTATATATAGTAAGGGAATATAGTAAGGGATTATTCATTACTTATATCCATGGAAAGGGATTATTGATACTGTCGATATTATCGATAGTGCTCCTTTAACTATAACTTTATATAATACGAACGAGTGGCGTATGTGCGTGCTATAAGCGTGCACTCGTAGAGGAGGAGTGTATCGAGTGCTGGATGAAGGAGTCTCTCTCGGTATCCATCAGCACCATTTCACGATAATATCCGAGTGCATCTGACGGAGCGGCTTAACGTTGATATATGGAGGCATTTCTCAGCTCTTACCCGAGCTCTTACAGATTTTTACCACCAGTCTTGGAGGAAGTGCCATCGGCCGCGACATAAATTAACGTTATCGATCGCAGATTTGTCGACGTTATATCGCGTCTTTCAATTCAACGGCTCTTCCTTTTTCTCGAGCTAGATTTATCCGTGAGTATCGTACGATTATCATATTCGAGTCAACATATTTAGCTCGATTCCTCTTTTAAGTTTCGGCACTTTACTAATTAATAAGAAAGCACGTTTCATGCTGATAAAATCTCTTTTTCGAATTATTTATTATCGCATTATCGATTCCATTTACTAAAAAATATGCAATTAGCGGCTTGTAAAGTTGTGATAAACGAAATTTAAATGAAAATCCAGTTATAACCACATACAGTGATTTTCCATGAAAGCGTGAACGGTGAATAATTGCGTGAGTCGATGTTATTTAGCCAGATTCGGGTATTCTCCTCTGATTTGACGTTACAACGAAAGCATTCATCCGTCACAACGTATAAATACATCAGCGTAGAGTTAATATCGAGTCCATTTATCCCAATACACAAACGCAGTTGGATCTATCAATGTCTGGGAGGATATGAATAAATTCAATTAATTTTTACATCAAAGAATCACAAATACTATCTCTATAAATTATGGAAGAATTAATATATTATGATATTTTTGATAAGCATATCTTTAACACAGGCATAGGATTCAGTGAATAAATTATTCCAAAAGTAAGTATAATCCAATAGTTTTAGATAAATTACGTAGCACTGCATAAAATAATTATTAAAAAATTACAAATTTTATCATGTAAATAAGTCCTGGTTCTTGCATTGGCTACAAATTGCTCGTGAATCACTATGCGACAGGATCACTATGCTAGCCGGACCTCGATAGAAAATGCGAAACAGAATATAGACTGAAGTTTAAATGAGATTTAGACCAGTTTGATACTCACAAAATAAAGCAAATAGCTTAAAAATTTCAGTCGGTAATATGTGTTTAGAGAAAAATATATACGTATTTTTATCAAATATTTTTTAAAAAAATGTTAATATTAATTTCGTCTTATTAATATATCAAGTATGCATCTCTGCATGACAAGTATAAATCAATTATATATATATTTTGTGCGTGTGTGTGTGTGTATATAAAGAAAAATTTTTTAAAATATTTATCCAAAGACGCGCAAACTAGTTCTTTCAGGATGATATTTTCTTTCTATTTTCAGTCATGTTGCTTTCATACCGAGATTCGTGTAATAACATAAATGCGATTTGAAAATTGCTTATTATTCATATCTCGTTGCACTCGCTGCGAAAATTACATTTGCTTTCGTATTATTTGACCTAGTCCTACTGTGTACAATTTCCTCAATTTCCTCAGATTTTCCGAGCGTGTCATTTCTTATACTTATAAATTGTTCTATTTGTAAAATTTAAAAATTATATTTGGATATATATGTATAAAAAATTTGTTTCATTAAATTATTCTAAAACAATTATACAATTTTTACGAAACCGCCATTATTCGATGACAAGATCAAACAGATTCTCAAAAGTTTTTCAATCTTGGCTTAATATTATTTCAAACGTTTTGGAATTTTTCCGCACAGTTTTTCAATCGCGGGATTGTTCGGTTCTGATTTCAAATTCAAAGTTAAAAGGTCACTAACGGAATGAAATTAAGGAAGCTCAATACTGAATTAGGATGGAGTTCGAGGATTTATCAAGGATTAACTCCTGCACGCTGCAACTGCAAGTCCCCAGGCACCTCTCGTTTCCCCTTCGAGTCGACCTTCCAATCACCATTCTCAGCTCTAAGTCTTCGCGCAGAGAGAAACTTTATGTGGGTTAAGTAGAATTGCGGTCCACGCCGTATTCAAAGGGTTTAAAGATCAGGTGTAATCGGCATACACAACGAGATTTAAAAGAGAGAATCCGCGAAAAAGAATGCTATCGCTGTCAAGTCGAGATCGTATTGCGGCAAAGTTAATTGCAACGAGCAACGAAATTCGTGCGTTAAATTCGTATAGCCGGCTTTAAATCCTTAACAAAGACCGATAGGAACGTAGTTTGGTAGAATTCGTCGTAAATATATCTCGGTAAAATATTCGTACGTATATACATATATAGCATTCGTAGCATTCGAAATATGAAGTTTACCAAGCTACGTATAAGAAACATGAGAGAGAGAGAGAGAGAGAGAGAGAGAAAGAGAGAGATCTCGACGTGAAATACGACGGCTCGAGAGTAAAATATATAGAACTCGCGCTCGAAAAAAAAATATTCCGATCTTCAACGCATACATAGTCCAAGTCCAGGCTTGTCGCGTTCTCAATGGGCACTAACCATCGGGGAAATCGAGGAGACAGGAGAATCTATGGCAGCCAGCTTGAAAGGATCGGTAGTCAAGCTCGCAGTATTACCGCTTGGCAGATTTATGCCAGTAATATCTGAAGCATTAGCAATTTGACGTATTGGCGATCGTAAAATTTGGAGTCGCGCGCAGGAAGAGGCTATCTCTCATTCATGGACTGATAATACATCAGATTTCGCGTCCCTTCGGGTCGGCGAGCGCGAATGTATCTGGTCTCCCATTGATTTGCATGCCGTAAGTACACGGAACATCGGCTTCCTGAGTACTCAAGAGCAGTACCGATCGCGCGGAAGACCCCCTCCAACTCCAACGAACGTTCCTCTCGCAGCGTAACGAGATATATCTAACGACCGCGATTATTCTCAGCACGCACATGGAACGCTCATAAAACGTAGGAAGTTCAATACGTACAGCAGCGTTCAAATTACAAGCAAACTCGTCCGTTCGATCGATCGTTGACTCGCTCGCTCATTGGTCAACGTGAAAAACATTACTACGCAAACAAGCCTACCTCCTCTCTGAGTGAATATTATCGTTTCATTGAAAATTGAAATTAATATAAATATTCCTCTAAATGTATGATTATTTTTTACACATGTGATGTTTTTTTTTTTTATATACTATATATGCCTCTGGTAAACGGCTTCAGTGAAACGATAAATTTTCAGCCAATAATATGAGGAAGGAAAACTTATCCGCAAATAAATTATCTAATCGACATAACGTTTAAATAAAAATCAAAAACGATTATTTAAAGTGAGAAAACTTTTTTGTTTTACATTTTTTTTAAATGTAATAACAATTTTGTACTTTTCAGTTTGCAAAGTCAATGTTCATGACAAATAACGATCCTGTCTTACTGGTATCGGTGATTTTATATTCTTAGAGTTGATATTACCTCGTGTATGTATCTTAATAAGTACTCATTGAGAAAAATTTTTGGAAGAGAAAAATTCTAAAGAACAAGAAGGGAACGCAAAACACATGAAACGACATGGGATCTCTCAAACTCTTTCAGAATCTCTCGCGTGTCGTTCATCGGCAACAGGAACAACGTTTACGATGCGACGCCCACCGTCATTACTGTTCCTCGGCAAACACTCAAACGAAAGTTCGTTTGATTAGTTTAATGGTTCGTTTGGCTTTACTCCTCCCTGAGAGTGTCGAGTCTCTGTCTCGTCGCTACCCCGACCCAAATGTTTTACCTAGCCGGTCGAGCCAATCGACGCCGATTATCTATTCGTGTCGTCGCCTAGTCGATAAAATCCCCAGATAACGCGAAGTAACTTTTACGATTGCCGCGAATGCAGAGAGATTTTACTCGGAATTAATCCAGAGCAATTTGGAGGATTTGATTTTCCGCGAGTTACAGACACTCGGGGAAAGAGAACGACAGATCAGATAACGCTCATATACCGACGCATGTTCGCGCTGGTTAATTACAAGCGTCAATTACGGAATTGGATTTAAGAGCGGTAAATTTACAAAATTAAGACCGAGGGATGACTTTATCGCCCGCGTAAATCTCCATTGCGTGCCTAATCCATCTAGCGGCTATTGTTGGCGCGCCGCCGACTGACGTACACAATTCGAGTTCTATCAAATACAACACAAGGCTGTATCGGGAGAGAAAGTTTTAAATAGAAAAGTTCCAGCCACGCTCGTGATTCTGACGCTCGTTACCGCGTCTCGTTAACTCTTAAACGTTAATAACTGAGAGGCGTCGTAATTCACAATTAGCGTAACGGAGATTCGCTATGTTCGCCTGACAGAGATCTTTAAAACACACTTTACACACTTTGGAAAAAACAGTGAAAAGCAAAAGCAAAAATAATCTGTGAGAAAAGTGGCTCGTGTTTAAAACGTGTTAAGGACGGCACAAAAGTAGCTGGTACGACGTAGAGGTTCTCTCGTTGTTTATAGTTACATAACAGAAAAGCATTTGCTTCTATAACCTCCCGAGTTTCAAGCTTATAATCGATTCCAATAACTATTTCCCCTAAAATTTAAAAGAGAACATGCTTTTTCCTCTATATAAGTTCTTCTATATAAGAGTCTCATCTTTAATAAGATTGATTAATTAATTTAATAACATTTATTAAATAACTGATTTTATGTGTTTTATGCTTTTATTTTTATTTCTGCTTTCCGATCAATATCAAAGAGATTAAATAACAATCATTCTGTTGAAACCAATAATATTTGTTATCAAAATTATAAAAACGTGTCCATTTTTAGCAGAATAATTCCAACTTGGATCAATTTTTTTCCGAAACTGCGCAAACAAATGCGCAATTACACTTTTAGTGAACGTATATGTGTATACGCGTAAGTACGCATAAGTGCGTCTTAAAGTTTTTAACAGCCCTGCGGCTTTCATTACGTGTCTCGTTCGAGTTGTAGGGTTATTAGTCCGGAAAGTGTAATAGAAGTTGTGAAGAGAAGATTTCAAACTTGCTGAAATATTCCGAATACACGTAGAAAGCACGACAAAATTCTTGATATTTTTTTCTAAAATCTAACGTCACATTACGACGTAAAATGTTGATGTGAAATATAAAGATCTAATTAAAAGGAGAAAAAAAAATAAAACAAATCCTTAAAATGTGTTTCAATTGCTGAATAAAAATTAAAGCAGTAAGAAAACCAGTAATACTTAAAGCTTATTTATCACATGAATGAAGAGCCAGCCAGACGTGTTCTCGTGTCTATGCTCCATTCGTGTCCTTCTGGACATCTCTCTCTCTCTCTC